GTGCATCTTTCATATCTCAGAAGCTTGGACAAGCATTTTACAATACATGGTGAAAAAGACATTATTTTAGTCTTTCTTTTAAAATTCTAGTCAAATAGGCCACATGTTCTTTAATTTATGTAAGAACCAGGAAGACAAAATCAAACAAAGTATCATGCATGATTTACAGCACTGAATTTAAATATTCTATGGCAAAGTGAATCCCTTACAAAATAAGTGAATCTGTTGGTTAGAAAGAAAATTTCAGATGAAACATAATTTCGATATAAGAAAGACCTGAACAGAAATAACTAGGCTTTACCTTGTTAATGTAAGTATGCACTCATGTATAATTACTGACTTTAAAAAGGTGTTTTAGAATTGAATCTTAATAGAGCAGTAAGATAAATAGTATAAAATGGAAAGAGGCAGAGATAGATGAGAAAGATTTGACCAATGTCACCAAAATTGTGTTATTTTGGGACATGTAATATTTACTATAAATATACTATGTTTCTAGTCTATACTAAAATTGCTGATCAAAAGGTGTATTTCTGGGGCCGGCCCGGTGGCGCACTGGATAGTGCGCCACTTGGGAAGCGCGGCGGCGCTCCCACCCGAGGGTTCGGATCCCACATACAGACCGGTTCCCGCTCATTGGCTGAGCGAGGCGCGGGAGCAACACCGAGGGTTGCAATCCCGTTGCCGGTCCCAGGTCCTGTACGGGGGCGACACTGAGGGTTGCGATCCGTTGCCGGACACGGAAAAAGACAAAAGACAAAAAAAAAAAAAAAAAAGGTGTATTTCTAAATCAAAATCAATTAAGAGATTGGTTTCAAAATAAGGCTTCCAGCCTAGGAAAGTACAAAGAAGAAATACTCAAGGCAAATATGTACAACAATTCACTAATCAAATTTGCAATGCTCTTTCATGCTCCCGAGATGAAAGGCTGAGAACATTTTCACCCAACCCCTCCTTCACCTTACACATTCCCTCTGCTCAGAACCAATACACATGTTAATATTCATGGCAGTGAATAAGCCCACATTTGTAGTGGTTTTCTTCTGCAAGGCAGAGAGTAGTTAAGTAATCTCCAATTATCACTAAAATGATATATAAGAGAGGTTTATTCTAAAAGTGACAACAGTAGTAAAATTTCTAGGAATGTTTTAGAAATAACAAAAAAAAATTGAGCTCAATTTTTTGCTCATTGCTCCCAAGAAATTATTTTATTCAGTATTGGTTAAATAACCCTCAACATCAGTAATTTCAACATGTATACTATTACACTTTACAGATTACAAGTCACTTCTTAATATCCTTTATCTTAAAAACCTATCATCTGTCCATTGTTCTTACAAATACTATGCAAATAAGAAAGTTAGAACTGCAAGAAGGAGAGATGAAGAAATACCAAGACAGAGAAATACCAAGAAATACCAGTCACTATGGGACAAAATGTTTGCTGTAAGTAATCTATGCTACCTGGTGATGAGTATCCTGGCTGACCTGATCATTCATTCATCCAACAAATATTTATTGAGATAGGTACTAAGCAGCTAGCTCATTTATTTTTGTAGCCACAGAGCCTAACATAGGCTGGGCCATATTAGGTGCTCAATAAATATTTCTGGACAGGCTTCTAGCATGTACTGAAATTAATAATGAAAATCACATTTCTACATTATTTTTCTTATCAATCATCATCATTATTATAAAACATATTCTCTACCATCAGAAAGTTTATCTCTATTTGAAAATAGACATATAAAATAATTTATTATAAAAGTGAGCTAGAACAAATGAAGTAATTATTAAGGAGAGAGAATTATTCATCCAATGGAATTTTCACTATAGACTTTCTTTAAACAAAAGACTACCATAATCAGCTGAAGATTTCTGACATCAATTACAATTTTCAATTTTTAAATAATATAGTTGCAGTATATCAACTGCTATACTTTTTCTACACTGTAAAAAAGAAGTTAGATGATTTTCTCAGAGTTATATAGAAACCAAATTGCATCTGTCACATTATTTTAACTATTGAAAAACTGAAGGTCTACACTTATCCTAAGCCACAGTATTTTCAATATATAATTCATTAAATCATTTACTTTTTTCAGAAAACATTTATTGAACACTGATATTCTGGGTACTATACTGATTAATTGCTCCTTACTTTATGTCTCTATGTTCTCCTATTCCTTTCTAAACCTTACAGTTTCAATAGTGATATTATATGGCTATGAGGTTAACAGTGGTAGCTTTAACATTAATAGAGCAAAAAATCTGCCTATCAAAGCTATGCCACCTAATTCAAAAGCAATTTTATTCTAAGTTGTTAAATTTTGAAGAATACAGTTAAATTTAAATATGATTACAGTTTCAAGTAAAACTGATCATGATCATTCTGAAAAATGGGATGACAATGTCAAATATTTAAATTTTCATTGAAATTATACACCAATAGGATTTAAAGTTATTTAATTGAAATGGCATTATACATTTCAGCAAGAATGAAGTATCCCTCAATGAATGCAATCAACTTTTTAGTTTATTGGTTCACTCTTATCAATTAAAGCTGAAAATATGATTTTAAAATACGAACAGTACATATTTTATACTTTGCTGACTTTGAAGGCTACAGAAAATTTCCTGGCATTTTAATGGATAACCTAAATGTTTAACTTTTATTGATAAAACATATCATTTATTATATCAGTCAGAGTAAGGTTTAAATCAGTTACATTCATAAACCAAAATCAAACAACAGTAATAATCTAAAATTCTACAAATCTTGTTTTCTTTTTAAATTTCCAATCCTTTAAGTAGTGGAAGAATTTATTTGGGAAAACCAAGATAGATTCAAAGGTAACAAAATAATTTGATAAAACTGCCTTTGTATATTTTCAAGCCTAAATATTAATATTAAGAATAGTTCTGCTTCATTCACTCAGAGGAGAATTTGAACATATCAAACCCAAGAGAAAGGGCATGCAGATACAAAGCACTGAATCCAACGTGAATGGCCAAACCACGAGAGGACATTCAGAAAGACAGAAGCCCTCCAAGGGCAGCTATCACAAATCCACAGCCAGAATAGAAGCTGTGGAGAGTACTGAGCTGGTATGGACACATAGAAAGTCAATACTTTACTTACGAAAGGACACTAAGTCACATTTGATCAGAATTAAAAAGAAATACCCATTCTTGTAGACTAAAACCCTTTGACTATAAAACAAACAATAGTAGTTTGAGTAATTCAATAACAAAGCCCCTTATGATTTGAGAGTGATTACTGCAGATGCTTTTCTCAGGGTAAAAGTGTAATTGGTTATAGATCAATAAGTAATTTCTTTTAGAAGGAAAAAGCTCTTCTTTTGTTTTTATTTTATTTATTTTTTGAAGTAGCAAGGCTCTTAAATCAGAACTGAGCAAATATATTTTGAAAGTTTGAGCTTACTCTAAACAAGATTCCTTGCTTCAATAGCTAAGTTTATCTCTACTGATCATTTATTTATGGTGCCATAAAAATCCAGATGCTTTCAATTTTGATTGTTAGATATTTGCTGAAAGGCAATTAAAATTATTTTCCCAGGGGTTCCAATTTTGGCAACTTCATGTTGAATTTAAAATTTATGACAGTTCAATAATGATTGTGTTGAGGGTTTTTTTTTTCTTTCTGTTGTTATTTTTTTATTTTTATTTATTTATTTTCTCCCAAATCACCAATGAATTCAGTCATTGTGGTCAGTGTGACCCCCTACTCAGCTTATTGGAAATTCCAGAAGTGTAGTGCAAAATTAAGATAAGAAAATAAATAAATAAAAACTTTGAGAATTAAAACCTTGTAAAAGTCTGTGTTAATGCATTTCCGTGTTTGGTGGTTTTCCTAATTACTTTAGGAGTAGTGCCTGAAGGCTAGTTTCTAACCGGAAAGAACATGACCTAGGAGTCAAATGTCCTTTGAGGCATGAGTACTGGTAAAGGGAGAATTTATAGGGGTAGACTAAAATAAAACAAAACAATTGTACATGATCACATGATACAGGGGATATAAACTATACATCAAAGATAAAAATAAGGATGGAGAGACTCAATATTCTTTTGGAACCTTCCAGGAGATAGAGACTTTAGACCAAGAACCATTATAATAATATCCTTCATAGTTTTTGAATATGTGACACATTCCTATATTTGTTATTTGATATATCAATAAAATATTAATATATCTTAACAATCAAAAATTTGCATGCTTCTTTGCAAATAATGCATCAAATAAGGAGGTAAAAAGTTGCAACCATACTTATTAGTAATTCTTTGAATGCAAAGATAGAAGGAAGGGTCCCTGATCTATAAAGTCAATTACGACAACTCTAAAAGGAAAAGAAAACTTTTCATTCATGAACTACTGTTTGCCATCTACTATATGCTGAATAAATTATTGTGGGAGGCTTAGAGCTTAGAGAAAAAGAAATGGTCCCTGGACAAAATGGGAAGAATCCACTGTATTGTTCTGACACTTATATATTAAAATAAGCACAAAATGGCATTGAAACAATCTTTTTTGCCATCTTACTTCACATCTCCAAATATTTCCTTTCCTTCTTTCCATTTCATAAACCTTTGAATATTTATTTTCTCTGATGAGAAAAGAAATAAGGACACTCAATCCAGATCTTTGGATGTCACCAGTATAACAAGTTCCTGCTTCTAGCCACAAGTCTGACGAAAGACAATAAAATCGCTTCAAAGGGGGGAGAAAAAATCTTGTGACCATAGAATTGAAAGGAATTCAAACTCAAAAAAAAAAAAAAAAAAAAGGTTTTTATTGTAAAGAACATGCTTAACAACAGGAATAGGTATAAGGCCTTATTACCTCTAGATTGTATTTATATTTTCTGTACCAAAATACTGGTTTCTGTGGGAAGTAAACATCCAAGAGGAAAAATTATAAATTATTCACAAAAAGCTAACTGTAAAAAGTAAAAGCTGAATCTTATTTAAAAAATACTTACTATGTGCAGTTCTAGGTAGTCACCCAGGCCCGAAGAACTGTCCACTCGCACCAATACAGCTTCTTTTTGAACAGTGCTAAACCCTATGGCCAGTCTGTCTGCTCGTGTACTGGGCCGGTCATTAGGAGGCCACTTATATGTGATTTGTCCACCACCTTTGCTAAAGATATACGTTGTCCCAGCTGGAAAACAAAAACAACACCAATTAGTCCAAATATATCAAGTCCACACTTTCCCATGTTTGTTATATTGATATGTCAGTGAAGTATTGAGTTTACACAGAAAACAATGGCAAAGCAAAAAATAGACTTCAATCAAGCATGCTCAAGAAAGTGGACAGAACTGTTTTAAAAGAAATAGAGATTGAGCCTAGCTCTTAATACACTCATTAAATCTGCCAGCAGGTGTTTCAGAACAAACAGTAAATTACTGCTTTTTCCATTGAGTTGGAGAAGGATGAAATGTAATGGGGCTTTATTTCTTCCTGCCAGTTTTTAAGAAATAGTTTAGTAGAAAACATTGACTGGATGCTTCCAAAATGCAGCAGAAACATATATCAACTTTTTTTTGAAACAAGAGTTACATGCAGATGTGACAAAGTGATACAGCACAGTGGAGCAAATCATAATATACTACGAATCAAACTTTTATGGGGAAAGGGTCTGTTCACATGTGACAGATGATAACTAATAGATGAACAGCCATAAGCCCCAGTAGTCATGTCAAGAAAATACAGATAATAGATCCCCATCCATAGGAGCTAGGTCTTATTTAACAAGCAACATCTAGTAGCTGTCAAACTATTCAGGATTACAAAAAAGATCCATTCCCTATCCCCACCACCCCCCAGAAATGAATACTAGTCTTATAGCACTGGAAATAATGTCATGGTCTCATTCTGTGGGTGTTCAAATTTGACTTTCCAGTGGTGATGCCACTATATTATCTATTTTAATTTAAAAAGAGTTTTCTTTCAAAGAAATTCACTCAGCATCCTATGCACTGAAGTCCTACCTCATTGTACCATTAGCAGCTCTTTTATTAAATGCAACAAAATGAATTCCTTAAGTCAGAACATTTGGAAGAGACATGAAAAAAATTAAATAAAGAAGGGAGTTCCCTTCACACTGAAGGGGTCCACAGAAATGTTTACTTAATTAGTCTAGGAAACAGACCTCAGGGAGAATTTATAGAGGGGAATATAGCTTTCCAACAATGAAGGATGCCAATACATTTTAATTGTGTACCTATTGTGATGGATAATTTTATGTGTCAACTTGACTGGGTCACAGGAATGCCTAGATATCTGGTGAAATATTATTTCTGGATTTATCTATGAGGGTGTTTCTGGAGGAGATTAGTACTTGAATTATTGACTGAATAAAGCAGATTGTCCTACCCAGCATAAGTGTTATCATCCAGTCTACCTGAATAGAACAAAATGGTGGAAAAAGGTTGAATTTTCCCTCTTTCTCTGCCTGGCTGCTAGAACATTGTTCATCTCCTGCCTTTGCAGCTTCTGGTTCTCAGGCTTTCAGACCCAGACCAGAATCTACATCATCATTTCTCTGGTTCTCAGGCCTTCAAATTATACCACCAGCTTTCCTGGATCTCCAGCTTGCAGATGGCAGATGCACATGATCATGTATATATACAAACACATACACATGTTCATGATCATATATATATATAGATACATGGTTCTGTTTCTCTGGAGAACCTTAATATACCTACTATGTGCAGAACTAGTTAAACAAAGCTGTAAGAGGGAATGCAAGGGGTCTTCAAAAAGTTCATGGAAAGATCCATGCTATTTTTTAATTCCACTTTTCCACGAACTTTTTGAAGTATCTTCATATTAAAAATCAGGCCACAAAACATCTTGTGTTTATGGAAAAATAGCTTCTACCAAGAATAACATTTATGTGTAAAAGTTGTGTAGACAGCAATATGTTTCTAGTTACCTATACATTAAATTTTTATAGTTACTTAATTTACCAGTTAAATAAAGTTGACTTACTGTCACATTGTATATGTTTAATTAAACAGCTGATAATATTAATTTTGTGACTTCTTTTGGAGCCAATCATTCTATATTTTCTATCTCAGACATTTCCATAGGCCTTTAAGAAACTCCAAAGACCTCAGCAATATGCATATCATACCTGAAGGTTAAAAAATGTCTTGGTATGCAGATCTATCCCAAGAGACATGTTAGGACAGAATCAAATGTAAAAATGAAAAGCCAAAATACCGCTAAAATGAAATGTTAAAAAGACTGTGCACTTTTCTATTATTTTTAATGGATTCCAATACATGAAAGTAGTTAATCTCTCTATGTGAGAAAAGGCAATTCATACTTCCAAGGCACCAGTCAATGTCCAAGCAAAGAAAATTCAGAATATACAGATTTTGTATCAGAAATGCCAGAGCATTTAGAGCCATTCATGCTCTATATCAACAGAAGCTTGTTCAACATGATATTAATAAGCAAGTACTACTTGATAAATGTTTTTCTGCCTGGTAATTTTTGCAGATGATTAAGTATTAACTATTTCAGTAAAGCATATGTCAATAAAAATAAGACAAGAACATATAAAGTTGGAGATTGCTTTAAAAGGAGGATGTAATGGTTACTTCAAGTGCTGATACTTAATGATTACTTCTCTCCTTCCAATTAATTTTGTTTTCAAATGCCTATGTAATTCATGTGAAATAAGAAAAATATTCAAAACTAAAGATACTATTTAATAATGTAAAATATAAAACGTATCTAAGAATTCAGATATTTTCCAGAATCACCAGAATAAAGTAGTGTTGGAAAGCAATGTTAGCTTACATTACATAGTGATTCCTAAACTTAAGAATCACTTTTACAAATGTTTTTAAATTTATTCTCTATTTCTGTATAGAAAGTAGGGCCAACATCACTCCTGTGCTATATTTGAGAAAATTTAGTCATAAGAATTGACTTGTTATCTCAATTTACAAACTTGGTTAAGTGGCAGAGCTGGTACAAAACTAGTATCCAGACTCCTATTCCAGTATTTTTTTTTAATACAGAAATGTTTCTGATATCATAATGATACAGTCAAGAAAAAGTTAATTGGATATGTCAGTCTGAATTTATCAAGGCCAACTGTTATCATATTCTAATGTCTTATATCCATAAAGTGACATTTGCACTTCATTATCATATACTCTCCTTTCACCTCTCAACGTTTCTAAAAAAGAAAAATAACATGTAAATGTGAAATGACAGAACATTTAATATATGTAGATTAACATTTACTTAGGGTATACTTCCCAAACTTATGGAACTATGAAATCTTCTAGTTGCTCAAATACAGAACTTGAGGATAGTAATTTAAAGATATATATTTTCAGTAAGAAAAATGTCACAATAAAAATTCCCTTACTCAAGATTTGATTTCATCTCATATTTCAACCTTTTTCAATAAATGTTAAGTTCTGGCAACTATCATGCAATTAGGTATTCTTCCTGCTTACAATGACTTTGCAGTACTTCAGATTTCACGAAAAAAACAAAACAAAACAAAACAATTGAACTACTGTCTGCCAAAGAATGCAATTATTCTAGTTTCCTTTTTTCCAGATATATCTGGACAGCAGTCTCTCTTTTTTCTTCTCTGTGCACACTAGTGCATTGTATTGTATGCATCGGCACAATTCCATAATAAATGAGAAAATTAGTTGTCCAGTCCTCCCACAGCTCTCTTCTACCTAACTCTGTAAGCATCCTGACTTTTTAAAAAATTCTGCTTGTCAAACTTGACAAAAATACCCTTTTTCTTGAGGCCCTCTTTTCATCAAGCTAGAATATTATTCTCATAATCAAATACAGTGGGTGAGATGACTAAAGTTTCAAAACCTGTCTCATTTAACATGCATCTTTTTTTTTTTTCTTTTTGTCTTTTTTCGTGACCGGTAACGGGATCGCAACCCTCAGTGTCGCGCCCGTACCGCGACCAGCAATGGGATCGCAACCCTCGGTGTTGCGCCCGTACCGCAACCAGCAACGGGATCGCAACCCTTGGTGTCGCGCCCGCACTGCGCTCAACCAGTGAGCGGACCGGTCTCTATATGGGATCCAAACCCTCGGCGGGAGTGCTGCCGTGCTCCCAAGCGCCGCACTCTACTGAGTGCGCCACCGGGCCGGCCCCTTAACATGCATCTTTCTAAACCAAGGACATAGTGTACTTACTGCAACAGAATAGTTTAAAAATTAAGAATGTAACTGGATTTAGACGTGGGTTCAAATACCTACTGTATATCATTAGTTACATAACCTTGATCAAAAAACATATTTTAAGTATTAGATTATCTGAAAAACTGGGGATAGCAACACTATCTTATAGAGCTTCTGTCGGAATTAAATGAGACATTGCACAGTGACACCTGAGTCCAGTTCCCAGCGTATGGTAAGTGCCCAGTAAATTTTATTAAGAATAGGTGTTGTGTGTTGTGTGTGTGTGTGTGTGTGTGTGTGTGTGTGTGGTAAAAGCATAAAATAACTAACATTGCATCATGATGTGTTTCAAAGTTGTGTTCAAATCAAATGCTTTTTAAGGACATGATGTTCCTACATTGTAGTTTTTATTAATCTTTTCAGTATTTCATTCTTTGGGTAAGCCCCTTTTTTTCACGAAAGCCCATTATATTATTATTTATGTTCACTAATAGTTAATAATGGAAGAAATATTAAATTGTATCACATTGGAGCTCTCATGAGAAAGAGAATATTAGTTTATCACCATAAAACATTAAGCATGGTAACATTTATGGCATGATGTAAGAAAATTTCACTTGACTATTACATAAAGGAGAAATTCTACACAAAATGAAATGCAAGCTGGGTTTATTTTTTAATTTTATTTTTACAGAAACATGTTTTACCTTATTTATAAGAGAATTAAATGTGCAATGGCAGTACATCTTAATCACAGTGCCAAACTTTTTATCAATATGAAGAGAAGCAGAGGAAGGTGTCACCTTTATTATATATGCATGTTTCTATACGACAAGCACTAGCTCATCAGTGCCATGACTACTAATGCACTTATTGCAAATTACCCTTCCTATCTATCACATCACTGAATGTATGGATGACTAAAACTAAAAGTGGTTTTCAGCAATTTCCACATTTAAGTTGTGCAGTGAG